CTGTATAACTGATTTAGTCCATGATTTCGCATACGGAAAGTATAAACAAAGCTAAATTTTTAAAAAATTCTGATTTAGTCCAATAGAGTTAGTCTTAAAGAGAAAACATTACCCATAAGATAGCATTAGCACAATTTGAAAGTATAACATAAATGAACGAAGAGAAATATCCGCGCATCATTTAAACCGCATCATATTTTAGTATGGCTACAAGAACTCTCTCTCTCTCTCTCTCTCCAATTAATTTCCAACTTATTATATATCAATTTATAAATTTATATCTAAATATTCAACAAAATCTATATTTAATATTTCAAATAATACTGAATAATGTGAATGAATGTTAAGATGAGAGGACTTACTTCGACTCTCTCTTCTTTGAGTTCAACCCTAAGCGCGAGTTCCTCTCTGAAGAGAACGTCCGGATAGTGTGTCTTATCGAAAGCTGCCTCCAGTTGTTCCAACTGTTCTTCAGTGAATATAGTCCGATGTCTGCGCTTTCTTTTGTGTCCAGAACTCATAAAACTGGCCGTAAGTGACGATATGAACGCTGAGGTCGACACCTGTTGTTGCAACGAGTTTTGTAGGCGATAGGCATCAGCCGTTCCACTCGTCATCAATGCATGGTTTGCATTGTATGCCAGAGATGTGGAAGAATTTTGTGAAACTATAACATTCATCAAATCAATATATGAATCAGAAATTTGTTAATGCATTAGAAAGGATTCAATCTTATTTAACTCATTTAACATGAAAAAAATTTAGTAAATATATTTTCCTAAAATATTAAGTTATATGAGTCATATAATATGACCTAGCACCTTCAGACATAGATTGATTTTATTCATCTATATAAAAGTTGTCTAAAAACTTACGCAATTGTGTTGAATACGTGAACATATCATAAGGTGGTAAACATCGGGAGTAAGGATTGTCGCAAATAGCGGTGGCGTTATAGTAGAGCGGGTGATAGCCGGTAGGGTTGGCCACACTATTGGCCACACCATTGGTCTCCTGGTTGTGGCCGCCGTCCAGAGCCGGTACTCCACCACTGCCTGCGTTCCCATTCACTAAAGGACTGCAATTGTTTNCTGCCTGCGTTCCCATTCACTAAAGGACTGCAATTGTTTTTATTAACACTTTTCTCTTTAGTCTTATTAGTGGGTAAGTCTAGTATGTCTTTCACTGAAAAGCCAAAAGTTTTGGCCTCTTTTGCCGCCGCAGCCGACGAACCACTCGAAGCATTGCTTAACATTTTCATTATTGATAACACATTCATAGCATAATTGCAATTATTTTGTTCAGACATTTTTGTATTTAAATTTTAATTAATAGGATAACTTTTGTATATGTTGTTAAAATATGAATATAATAAAAATGTGGTTAAATAATATAAATGATAAAACAATTTAGTCGTCAATATCTCTCTGTTTGTCCAATATTTAAGTGAAGAAATGAGAGTAAAATATATTTGTCAGCATTTCTTCAATCTTTATTATAGTATAAAAGCGTCCAATGATTGGTCAAAGTTTTGTATTGAAGTGCTTTTTGTATAGCGTTTAATATTGCTTCTAATGCTTATGGGAAGTAACGGAACTCCTCTCTCATACCATAGAGACTTGGATTCGTTGTTTGTGTCTCTCATTGACTGTCTTTTATTGACTCGTTTTGTGGTTTTGAGAGCAATACAGAGAAAAGTGGGAAAACGATTGCTTTGGAGAAATGTTTGACTAATCTGTTTGGACATAAACCCTGTGCGGTCGGGCACCGGTAGCGGCCACACACATACACACAAACATGTGCCCTAATACTAGATATTTATCCTCTCAATACTTACAATAGTTTGAGGATTTAAATGGTTTTAAGTATAAAAGAGATAATCATTCGGAAAATATGTTTACAACTGAATAGACTGTGTATTTATACATCAAATATTATATTAGAAATGATAGACGTTTTGCACAGAATATGAACTTCTGTTGAGTGCCCGACGTCTTTAAACAACAATCAATTCAATCCAAATAATCTCTCTCTCTCTCTCTCTCCAATTAATTTCCAACTTATTATATATCAATTTATAAATTTATATCTAAATATTCAACAAAATCTATATTTAATATTTCAAATAATACTGNTTCACATTATTCAGTGTTATTTGAAATATTAAATATAGATTCTGTTGAATATTTAGATATAAATTTATAAATTGAAAGAAACTATTTTAATAAAATTTTAAAAATAGTAAAGATTATAAATTTTTGCTTTAAACATCAGTTAAACTACTTTATTTGTAATTTACTCAACAAATTGTAATTTATTTAATGTAAGTAATTTAACTTATTATACTAAATTTAATTAATACAAATACAGTAATTGATCATTAGATTTGCAATCATTAAATAAGTGTTACAATTAATAAAAGTGGTAAAAACGTTACATAAATTACAAGTACTATACAGGTGTGGGAATAGAGTACAAGAGTTTATTAGAGTGTATTAGAGTTAAGTGTAATTTCAATGTAGGGAAACCAGAAAGTTTAATACAATAGTTTGACTCGATTGCAGTTAAATTACATTAATAAGTCATTAATGATTATCGCAACTATTTTATGAGTTTAACATTCATTGAATAAATGATTTGTTATCAATCTTTGACTAATTAACAACTTTTATAAGCACTATATTAATGGTCTCATTATTTACCGGTATAGGGATAGGTATAGGGAATATTCTCAACACATATTCTGTTATACAGTATTGTAATAAAGCCTAAAATACAGTAACCGTACAATTGGTGTACATTTGGTGTACAATAGGTGTCATTACTAACAGTCAAACCCAAACACATGTGAAATATTGTAAATATAAACACAATTCAAATTGAAATGCAATGAAATGTTTGTTAAAACTAATAAAACACACATTTGTCTCACAATTGCATTAAATGTCCGCAAATTATCATCGATTGGACAGTCATTACAGTCATTACCGGTGATTAAAATCCCAAAATATCTGAAGACATCGCTGTCTGCGGTCCGACATAATGAACACAAAAGAGCGGATCAAATAGTGAAAGAAGACAAACAATTGAATGATAGTTCACTAAATGACCATAAGTTTGATCCAAACGTTTGTGTCATCTCTACTACTAATCAAAGATTGAATCACTTTTTGGGACAAAAATATAAATGTTTAGACAAAATACCATTAGTTAGCAAAGAGTGGATTAATGGCAACAACACTAATGGTAAACCATTTAAGCATTACTTTTGGGTTCAATTAATATATTGTTTGTATTTGAGGACAAAGTATGCGATTCCATGTCCACGAAGACAATCCATCGATTGTTGTTAAAGAATCGCCTCAACACTTGTCGGCGACTTTCCGATCGTTAGGTCTGAAGAGCGTTGTTTGCGATGCCATTGAATCGATGGATATAAAGTCACCGACGGGTATACAAATGGCTGCCATTCCGTCCATTTTGGACAAGAAGAATGTCATCTGTTCTGCGGAGACGGGAAGCGGCAAAACAATGGTATATTTGGCACCAATTATTCAAATGATCCGTCAATTCAAAGAGTATAACTCACAACAAACGAGTCAATACTACCCGAAAGGACTGGTGATTGTGCCGTCACGTGAATTGGCCGAACAGGTCGGACGTGTGGCACAACATTTGGCCACCTATTGTGGTATAGGTGTGGCAGTTATGATGGGCGGACCGCCACAACACATATCGCACACTGGCATGGATTTAATCATTTCCACAATTGGTTTGGTTCAGCCTCTCATTCAAAAACGTATTTATCACTCATTTCTTATAAATCAATATATTTTGTTAACATTTGTGTAACTATTTATATGAAAGCCTTGTATAAGATTTTAATATAAATCGAATTATAATTTGCATTCTTATAGGAATTTATTCCATCCGAAGACTTAACCATTTAGTGATCGATGAAAGCGATACTCTATTTGACGACACTTTTGGTGGAGAAGTAATAGATCTGTTGGGAAGTGTACTCGTAAGTGATCTCTATTACCATCAAACAAATACTATACACTAACATGAATTGTATCACATTTACCGTATTTAATATCAACTTGTAAGTAAATGTGATAGATTTTAGTGTAGAGTCCTATGAAATGGTAGATAATATAAATAATATAACAATGGTTGACATAACGTTAGGTGAGAGACAACACCCATGAGGCCAACGATGAGAGTGATAATGAAGAGTCACGCCTTGAGTCGACCCCCGGAGGTCTACAGTTGGTGTGTGTGAGCGCAACAATGCCTAGAAATCTAAACCATACTCTTGGAAAGATTGTGGACATCGATGATAATTTTGACATCATATCAACTCATGGTTTGCATCACATTATGCCTCACGTGCAACAAAATTTCCATCGGATCCACAAATTTGAGAGACAATACAAACTCTTGGAATTAGTCAAAAAAGATGTTAGAATTGGAAAGCCTGTAATGGTGTTCAGCAATCGTTCAGATTCTTCCAATTGGATCTATCATTACCTTAACGATAATGGCGTACATTGTCTAAGACTTAACAGTGAAATATCAGATAAGGAACGCTACGATCAGCTCAAGAGGTTTCAATCGGGAGATTGTAATGTCATTTCATGTACTGATTTGGGCTCAAGAGGATTGGATACAGTGGGGGTCAGACATTAGGACATTGCTATCTTTAAATAACTTATTTTTGATCTCAAACTCATAGTGTTTTGTTTTAATATAAAGGTTAGACATGTAATCAATTACGACTGTCCACACTATGTGTCCGATTATATACACCGGTCGGGAAGGACTGGACGTATGGGCTCTAAACAAGACTGTTTGGTCAGCACTTTTGTATCGTTCAAACCGGACGTAATGATGGTTAAGAAGTTGGAACTCGCCTTAAGACTCAACCGTCCCATCGATTCGGTCGACGCAAACATTAAACACCAAATGAATGTAAAGATGAAAACAGTTAATAATAGCAAAGAGATGAGAGCTAAACGCAAACAATGATCATTGTATTCAACAAATTACTATTTATATTTATATAAATATTAAACACTATATATTCATCACTTTAAACGTTAATTTTTGTTTGAAAATGGCCAGAAGATTGTGACATGGATTTAGAGCCAATGGCATCATTCACTTCACACATTGTCTGCTGAGCAATACTTAAGGCCCGATCGTGTCCTTCATTGAGCACTTGTTCCAAATACAACTCGTCGTCCATTAATCTTAAGATGTTTTCTCTGATAGGTTTCAAGTGTTGGATCACTAAATCGCTTAAAACTAGTTTGAATTGACCGGTATTTAGGCCCACATTTTGACGACACACTTCGTCGGGCGTCAGACCACTAATAAGCGAATAAATGGTCACTAAATTACTGACTCCCGGACGGCTCTCCGGTTCATAAGTCACTTCAGATCGCATATCAGTCACAGCTTTACGTATTTTTTCCCGAATTAGATCCGAACTGTCAGTCATTTCTATTCTAGACTTTTCACTCGCTTCTGATTTTGACATTTTCTTGTCAACAATCCGTAGACTTCGTATACGACCAGTCAGTGCCGGACTAATAGCTGTCGGTTCCACAAATGTGTCACCGAATGTAGAGTTGAATCGATGCGCTAAATGGCGGGCAAATTGCAGGTGCGGTAACTGGTCGTCGCCCACCGGAACAGCTGTCGACTTGAATAGCAGAATGTCTGCCACCTGTAGCACAGGGTATAAGTATAGACCGAGTGGTATGTCTTTCATGCCTTGGCTTTTGTCCTAAAATACAATCATTTAATAAATAGTGGTTTAACTGTAAATGAATGACTATTTGAACAATAAATGCCTTAAACTGTGCAAATCTGTAGAGTTGAGGCATTGTGGCCAAAGTGGACAAAATCCAACACAACTGGCCGTGAAATGGTATGTCTGACTGCCTGTATATTATGGATCGTTTGGGATCTAAACCACAGCCAATGAGTGAAGCCATCATTACTTTGATATTACGAGAGATGTGTTGTTTGTTTTGGATTGTAGTCAAAGAGTGCAGATCTGCCACAGAGAAGACGGTCTGTCGGACACTGGGATCCGACTCATAGGCAATCCACTGACGAATAGCTCCCAAATAATTGCCCAAATGTAGTGAACCCGTGGGCTGTATCCCAGAGTAGATCCGCAATCCATGGCTAGCCATCGATTCAGTCGACAAACCCTGAAATAACGACAATTAGTGTTGTTTTCTATTCAAACCAACAAAACGTACTCTAATTTGTGTTGTGTTTAACAACACTTTGATTTTGTGTCCAAATAATTGGTTAAACATTATATTCATTACAAATCACTACAAATCAAACAAATAATTATTGTTTCCATCAAATGATAACATTGTTTGTGTCACGTGTTTATCATGTTTTGCTTATTACTGTGAAGTACAGTACATTACGTGTATTAATACACATTATGTGTGGCAATCATATGATTGACAATTGAATCTAATTGTGACAATTGGGTAACTAGATCCTCACCGACAATTGTCTTACATATAATCCATACATGAGATGATAATCTATACAATTAAAACTCATTTAATGTACACATTTATTAATTCAAATTGACCAATGTGCAATATTTATATCACGTTGTTTGTGAACATATTATTCAACAAATTGATCATGTTCATTTTGGTTAAAGTACTTACAGTATTAACTTTTGGTTAGTTTGAAATATTTAATTGGAGTTGATGTGACACAATTGGTGACAAATTGTGATCACATTTAGTTGTATTGTGTATTGAATTAGTGATAATATAATGAAATATTATAATAGTTTGTAATGTATTTCAATAATAATGCCGACAATAACTGTAATGTGAATACAAATAGAATTAGATTTAATGGCAATACATTTGCAGCACATAATAGGGGCCGATATAGTGGTCGGTATAGGGGTCGGCAATACCGGCCATATAATAGACATAATAGAGATTGTGGTCATTCTGTACGCTTTGGCACTGCTTTGCCATACAATGCAATACATAACGATCGCCAATACAATCAACAATCATCTAATGAAGCCATTCGTGAGTTTAAGTCAAATTTATGCTAAAAACTAATTCAACTGAGATTTATATGATATTTACTTTTTTATAAATAAAGTGCAAAAACCAAAATGCGAGACAATTATATTGGATTTGTCCACTAATTGTCAATTAAGTGAAACCGACTTAAGAAAACATTTCCAACAAACTTACGGCACAATTAAGAAGATTTGGTTTAACGCTACGAATACTAAAGGGTTTATCAGTTTCTTTAACCCAATTTCTGTGGACATGTGTCTCGAAAGTGGAGACAAACAAATAATTAACGGCATATCTGTTGACGTGAGTCCGCTTGAAGTTGAAATACCTCCGGAACTGTTGTCTACAAGCGGTGATCAAAGCCATCGCCTCAAGAATTTATGTAAATCTGACAATAAGACACTTACGGCCAGATTTCCCACAAAACATGAGATCAATGAACCAAAACCTCATTTCAATTTCAATTTAAACCGAAACCAAATGAAAGAATTGGTAAAAATTGAAAGAATTGACAAATTGTAAGAATTGGTTATTATTTTGTTTTAAAAATTTAATTATCACTTTTTAAATTTTAGAAAACTTATGGACAATATATTAAATGTAAATGATGTGAAACAACAGTTGGATATTATATTAGAGGCACTTATGTTGAGAGATTGTGATTACAAAAAGCGCAATGAGATACTGAATAAATTAGAAGAAGTGCTAAATATGAATGGCTTTAAGTGTGAACTGCATTTGATTGGTTCGTCTGCCACTGGGTTAGCATTTTGTGATTCAGATGTGGACATATATGTAGACCATAAGAACCAAAGTTGTGCACAAGAATTAAATTTTGTGATTGCAATGCAATTATTGGAGACAATTCGGTCGATACTAAGACGTGGTCTTAAGCTCTATATTGCAAAACCAATACCGAGTCAGAGATGTCCTGTCATTCGTCTTCAATTTGATAATATGTTTAAAGACAGTGTCTTCTCAACGCTTACGTCTGATATAAGTCTCAGCAATGGTTTAGCAAAACACAACTCAAGACTAATACGATATTACTGTCGATTAGAGCCACGATTTCAACATTTATGCCTTTTGTTACGCTTTTGGGCAAAAAACAATGCCATTATTGGAAGCACTAATCAGATGTCTTCGTATGCATTCACACAATTAATTGTTTATTTCTGTCAAACGCAAGGATTACTGCCATCACTCGATCTTTTGAGACAATTGTCACCAATGGAACCGCTTATTATTAAAGGATGGAATTGTAGTTTTTCTGACGATTTATCCATTTTTAAGCAAAATTTAGAGAATAAGGATTTGATACCAGAATTGATACAAAAGTTTTTTAATTTTTATTGTAAATTTGATTTTACAACTCAATTGATTTGTACTAAAAGTGGTTCGACTAAACATAAATCACTTGTTTTGTGTCAACCAATAAATAATACAAATGAAGAAATGCAAGAAATACCACAAAACACTTTGAAATTGACTTCAATTATTAATATTGAAGATCCTTTTGAATTAACTCATAATTTATGCTCTAATTTAAGTATTCAATCTTTTAACAAGTTCTGCGATTATTTAACACACATTTCACAAAATTATAATAATTTATTTAATGAGAAAACTAAACAAAACTTTTCACAACTGGAATCGACTGATAATTATTGGGGATTAAGTCGCTTATGTGTTGAATGGGATCCGACACCAAATGGTTATGTATTTCCCGAACATTTTATTGGTTATCCAAATCTGGATTTAATTTTAAAACAAGATTTAAATGAATCCCCGTTTTGTTTATTGAAAACAATGGCTGATTCTTTGACTGGACTTACGTATGAATGGTTGACACAAGTCTATCAATTGGATTGTGAATTGTTGGCCAAATGGGATCTATTATCAGGCCAATTGTCTCCGTTCGCAGAGTTCTACATAAAACTTTTTAATGTTGACTATCAAGTGATAGATTCAAACACACGATTGCAGTTCAGACAACAAATTAGTGATCAATCTCTCTCTCAAATGTCTCTCTTTGACAGAGAAAAGTGTGTCACAGAAAGTATTTTGAAAACTTACGCAACTGAGAGCTCAGGTCTTATACCAACTGAATGTCATTTTGCTATTGTTATGAATTGTCGGCTCTCTTTCCCAACCATAGAATTAGTATTTATTGATATGAAACCCGATTTCGAGTTATGTTTAAACTTATCAAAGTTTTTGCGAACATTTATAGCACTTGTTTCTCATGACTCCAAACTTCTAACAGTCGCTCAGGAATTAAAATAATTTATAATCTACTTTTATATTTTATTAAAACTTGTATTAATTACAGCAAACAATTGTTAAATTCAATAAAATGAACAATTTTTATAAAAAGAAATTTATTAAATAAAATTTAAAGTTTGAAATTAAATATTTCCATTTGATTCAATGAGAGGCGGATTTTAATAACATTTGTCACTTTATGTTTGATGCTGTGTTTGAATTTCCTCCAAAGAGTTGTTCACATGAGTAATGTTTTCCAATGACTCGTTACTCTTTGGCGTTTCAGATATACTTTCTGAAGACTTTTTGGCTTCTTTGGAAGTGCTTATCATTTCCTCGCTTTTAGTGTTTGTTTGGTTTTTGACCTTTTTATCCGAATTGTCATTTGTTTTTTGTTTGCGTTTAAACCCAAAAATTACAATAATAACAACTGTGAAGCAAATCAAACCAATTATAACTATAATTATGACAATTAAAGTCCAGTTCGTGTTGTGTGGATCTGCAGTGGTCTTCACTGGGCTTTTATGAGTTGTTTCTTTCATAGACTGAGTGGTTGTATCACTAGTTTCTGTTATAAACCCTTGAGTTGTTTCGGTTGATAGAGTGGTGAGAGGTCTATGAGGTCGAGGACATCCAAAATAAGTTTGGACTTCAGTTGTATTCATTTTTTCGCACTAAAGTATTCAACAAAGAGTCAATTTGATAAAATACAGAATAATTAGGATTCGTATAATTGACCTTGGGCGCTTTATCTGTATTGTTAGCTATACACAATTCTTTGAGTCCAAATAGGATCACATGTTTATTATTAGCAATCATTGCTTTTACATCGATATACTTCTTGATGATATCGAGATTAGTGTTAGAGTTAGGATTATCTGATAGGAATGTCAAGTAATTGCTTCGTTTGAATGCTTTTCCCTTTATTTTCAATTCCGGTTTTTCGATGTCTCGTATCATATATTTGATGAACTCTTCGGAATCAAAGAGGAAGTAAACGCTCACATCTTTGCGATCAAGCGATGCATTGAAATAATCCATTGCAGCCATTGTATGGACAACTCGGGGAAAATCCTTCCACTTATCTGTTGTGCCATTATTTTTCTGTATTTCTTTGTTGTAAAGAAACCATTGATTTTTCTACAAGTAAATCATCATATTTCAGAATATGTCCACAATTTTAAAAGTTTTAAATATAGTAACTTTAGTATTAGATATGGATATTATGCATACATTAATAAAAACAGTGGATAATCCAAAATTGTTGTCCACTATAGTAAAGGCTGCATCAATAGGTGTGGGCAAACCCGGCCACCGAGAACTAATCCAATGGCCGGGTTGTGCCGATACACCCGTTTCTGTATCTATGGGCCAATACGAGTGATCTTTAAATATATAATCTTTGCCGTCGTCCGCAAACACAGCCGCGTCTATAGTTAGTTCCCGACAGAGTTGCTCTTCAGGATCCATACCATGAGTCCTCACAATTAAAAATAAAACAATTGATACAAAATTCATTGCCATAAAATATAACCGCTAATAAACAATAATTATTAAAATGTTATACAATTTTTTGCGCTTTCTATAGATATTCAAAATTAGTTTTAGGATTACCGGTAATTTTAAAAATATTCGTTATATTGTGTTGTATTGTTAGCCACAAATAGTGTGAGCATAAGCTAATCAATTTAAAAGTTATTCATTTTATAACAATAGAGTTTACAGTTATAATTTCAAATTATTAATTTGTGATATTTTATTACTTCAACTTAATTATGATTTTATGATTATTTTAATCATTGCAATAAACATTAAACAACAAAACAATTTTTCATAAAATGCTAACAAATAACTTATTTAACCGGCAAATGGTCTAAATAAAAACAATAATCAGTTAACACTTAACGACATTAGAAAAATAATAGGCGTTTGCCAAAAACGTTACACTATCACTCGGATTTCAAGAACACCAAAATTCTGACAATACATTTTGCATTTGGACATCATATTAAAAATAAAAATATAAATAATTATGATATTTTCGGCTAGACTAATGTCGGTTATTTTTTTAATCATAAATATTTAATAATTATTTTAAAATTAACTACTTTAGTAATGATAAATAATGACAAAATTATATTGGCCCACCAATTAATAAGTTAACATCATTTGTAGCCTTATGCGTATGTTATTTATTGTTATTTAAGTCTTGTTGATATTTTAAAATTTATTCAATTTTATTTTCAATTAGGAACTGTTTATACATATATTCATTTTGAAAATTTAAATTTTAAAAGTATTTAACGAATTTTCCATAACTATAACATGGCCATAAATTAACATTACTTTTAACCTTAATATTGCCATAGACTTAACATTATTTGTAGACATAGCATTGCAATATAAAAGCAGTTTATATAAAATTTACATATGGAAGAAGCCCGACGTTAAGTTATAGTATATTAATAAACTCAATTTGTTATACAATGCTAAATCATATGTTAGGTCAATTAGTGTTTACGCTAATCAATTGATTCATTTCTAACCTACAATTAGATTTATAAAAGTTTTTATGTTAATTTTAATAAAATTTCAATACTGGCTATTCCAAATTTACAATTTAGATTTATTGTTTTAAAAGTTCATGTTATATGTCAAGTGATATATTTAATATGGTCACAAAACTTACAAGTTAGAATTGATCATAGTTATTATTTTTATTGAGGTAAATTTAAAAATCAAATTTTATGTTTGATAAGTAAGTGAACCATATTATATATGAATGAAGAGATATTGATAAGAAAAATAAATATCTGAAAGAATTTTTTAATTCTGATGTAATTTTAAAAAGTTATTATAAAATATAGTGAAATCAGTACATTTTGTATGTTATTTATAGAGTAAACGTTTTCATTATAATCAATTAGTAGTAATTTTAATTGTAAATAACATATTAATTACTTTGTTAAATTAAGTTACCATGTAAACAATATTTTAACAAAAATAGGCACGCATTCTTATACAAACTTTTTTATGTCAAGAATTGAGAGTCCATTTATATAGAGGAAGACTGCCGGTTGTAGGTTTGTCAGAGACATTAG